CTAATCCTTTTCTATCAGGTTCCCCAGTTCTCTCAATATCCTTGTTGTCTTCCTCTGGAAGTTTTCCTAATCAGCAACTAGAACAGCACAATTCCGCAGAAGTGGGGTACAGAAGAAAGGATGCTAGATCTGGAGTCAGAAGACCTGGACTAAATCCCAGTGATTCCCCTTACTATTTTAGTGACTTTGGGCAAGTTAACAGGCTTCCATTCTCTCTTTTGTAAAATTAGGGGTTTGGACCAGATGACTTCCAAAGTTCCTTCCATCTCTAATCTATGTTTACGTGATCCTCGAATCCATAGCCAGTCTGTTCCCAAGGCCTGTGGATGTCACCTTTGCAGCATCTCTCAAATATGCCTGTTTCTCTCCTCTCACACTTCTACCACTCTGGTGCAAACCCTCATCAACTCACACCTGGGTTATTGTAATAGCCTGCTGGTGAGTCTGCCTGCCTCAAATTTCTCAACTCCAATCCATCCTCCATTCAGTTACTAAAGTGATTCTCCTAAATCATAGGTCTGATCATGTCAGCCCCATCCCTACTCAGAAATTCCAGTGACTCCCTAATTGCCTCCAGGATCAAATTCAAAATGCTCTGTTTGGCATTCAAAGCCCTTCAAAACCTAGCCCCCTTCTACTTTTCCAGTCTTCTTTCACTTTACTCACTACTATACACTCTTCAATCCAATGACACTAGAACCTCCTGGCTATTCCACAAACGAAACACTCCATCTCTCAGCACCAGGCATTTTCTCTGGCTGTCCTCAGCTCTACCTGCTGACCTCCCTGGCTTCTTTTGAGTCCCAATTAAAATCCCAGCTTCTACAGGAAGCCTCCCCCAAACCTTTTAATTCTAGTGCTAATTATTTCATATTTTTCCTAGATATAACTTGGTTTGTTTATGCTTGCATGTTGTCTACCCCATTAGATTGTAAACTTCTTGAGGGCAGGGACTGTGTTTTGCCTCTTTTTATATTCCCTAGTACTTAGCACCATATCTGGCATATATCTGGCACCTACTGCACTTAATAAATATTGATTGATTGACCAGAGGAGAGCACCATGGAACTATTACCTTTCTTCTTCTGGATGCTGTATTTCTCTTAATATAGCCTAAGACTGCATTAGCTTTTTTTTTTTTCCTCTACCATATTACACTATTGACTTGCAGTACTTACAGCACACTAATAACCCAAGATCTTTTTCACAGGAACTATTGTATAGGCAGCTTCTCCTACCCTGCACCTGTGCAGTGGATTTAAAACACACACACACAAACACACACACACACACACACACACACACACTCAAATGTAGGACTTTATGTGCCACTATTTAATTTCATCTATTAAACCATCACTCTAGTCTATTGGATTGAGTCTAACATTTAACATGCCTGTTATCTCACCCAACTTCATGCCATCTGTAAATCCTGTAAATTTGCTATCTATTCCTTCTTCCGAATTATTAAAAATGTTGATTAGACCAGGACCAAGGACAGATTCCTGGTGTACACCATTAGCAACCTTCATCTAACTTGACGTCAAGCCATTAATGACTCATCTATTTTGGGGGTCTCTTCACTCAACCAGTTTTGAAACTACCTAATGGACCTTGAGGGAGTGTGGGGCATAGAGTTACTTAAAGGGGTCCTTGAATCAATATTCAAGCATTGTCACTTTGATCTGTACTTGGTTCCAACAAAAAAAGCAGCTTATGGCTTTGTATAGAATGTCTTGCACATACATGTATAAGGATAATAATAGCACTTATTTCCCAGGATCCAATGAAATAATATTTGTAAAGTACTTTGCAAACCTTAAAGTGCTATATAAATGCTATTAGTCATGCTGTCTCTTAGTAGCCTTTTACACATACCCCATTCCTCCACAAAACAAAATAAAGCATCACTTCTTCTAATGACATAAGAACAAGTATAGTTTGTCAGGACCAATACTATTTGGATGTGTTTGTGAAACCTGATTAAGAGAGCAGCCAAGAGTTAAATACACATTAGCTGGGAGGCTTTCTAGTAAAACATGTTGTGCCATTAGAACTTAGTGATTTGGCGAACAGTTTAGACTCTAGTGTATGTTTTAATTTGAAGAATCAATGGAAATGTTTGCAAAAACATTTTTTAAATCAATCCCGTCATACTGAGATAGTATTTTAAAAAGCCCTTAACAGTGCCTGGCACATAGTAGGCATGATATAAATCCTTATTCCCTTGCCCTCCCTTCATGTGCTTTTTTTTTTCCCCGTGGGCATCTTTACTCTTTGTCTTTCACTTGTCTCTTATTTTACCTTCTGGGCTATAAAAATTACTGTTAGGGAACATTTCTTATATTCCTCCTGCCCTGTGTTTTGTCAGAAATCTTGTTAACTAATAAATCAACATTTGGCATCTTCTGAATGGTGACTAGATTTAAATACCCAAGTGGCAGTTGCCACCCTACCCTAATGTCCTAAGGAACACAGCGTATTCATCAGAGGTTTGTGTGTTATCTCCCTAGCGCACTTCGAGAGACAGCTATGGACAGGTCCTGAGCATCTCTGTGGATGGCGCCTGTTAAGGAGAGGCTGGAGGGATTGAGAATCTTCTAGCTCATAAACCCTCAAAGCCCTCTCCTTCCTCTTCCCCCAGGTATAGGGGAAGAGCAGCAGATGTTGACATGACCAGCTAGAATAGGTCCAAAATTGTCATCATGGCTTGTATCAGCAGCCGCCCCACCCATGTTAGGTCATTGAGGCCCAGAAAGAACCGATGCAGGCTGGGTCTGTTTGATTCCTGAAACCTGATCTGGTTTCAAGTGTCTATCCCCCACATGGAACAGATTTCCCCCCCCCCCCCCCCCCCTTCCTTAAAATACCCACCCCCCCCCCCCCCCCCCCCCCCCCGCCTCCAGGCAGTTAATCAGACTCCATGGCACATTGTCAAAAGGCTAGCTTACACCCACAGAAGCTGGGGAAATTCAGACCTAAGGGCTCAAGCTCCGTGGCGTGCTTACCTCATGCTGTTGTGTTTAAGGTATTGCTAGGGTCACCAAACAGTGCATGATCTTAACTCACCACATGTGCTACAGTTTTGCTTTGAAACTATTTGCTGCCCTTTCCTGGGGCCCCGCCTCCAACCCCCCTACCCCATTTCTCTTTGTCTTTAATTATAAATGATACATTTTACTATCTTGATCTAATATGTGGATTCTGGGTCAGTATTTCTCATAAATTAGGTCTGAAAAGATTTGTTACTTCTGGGTCAGGAGATACAGCCAGAGTGTAAAGGAAAAGGGGAGGAACTGTAAACAGGGAGAAGAATGGTTCCTTGAGATTCCTTTGAGTTCCGTTCTCCCACATGTTACCAGGATTTCAACAGCTGCAGTACATTCAGAGAAGCATGTGTGTTAATATCAAAGATCACATTTCCAAAGGGCCTCTCAGAATTCATGGGTATATCCACTTACATAGACTTAGAGTAATTAAATGAGCAATTACTTTATCTGTGCTGCATGCACAAATGAGCGGCCTGGTTTGGGTGGATTTTTTTTTTAAGAAATCTTTTCAAACTATGGTTCTAAATATTTTCAGAAACCTTAGAAATTCTTTTTTCTTGGGGACCAGCCTATCTCTTATCATACTACATGATGATTCTGGTCCTTGAGCAAAGTTTAACCTAGTCTCAGAGTTTTCAGAATTCATTGGGCTGAAAAATGTCCTCTTCCCTTTCATCCCATTCTTAATTTCCTTCAGCCCTCCACCCCAAGTGTGTCCTAATTGATCTCTCTGGGCCTTAGTTTCCTCAGCTGTAAAATGAGAAAATTGGGCTAGGGTCTAAGGTCCCTGCCAGCAGTATTGTTCTATCATTCTGAAGGTCTCCAAGGTCTATCATAAGTGCCTTTCTTTTAGCCTTACCCTGCATAAAACTCTGCCTAGCCCAATGAGTACTGCTATTCCCTCTGCCCCTTTTTAGAAGTTAACATGTTCACTCTTGCTGAATACTCACCCCCTTTGTGTGTTGTTCACCCAGCTCTGACACATCTTTCAATTCAATTATCCAGAATGAACTTGAACACCTGAACATTCTGCTTTCTGTAGAAAGGATTCTTTTTCTTTTTCTAATTCTCTCTCTCTGGCTGATTGTCTAATTTCTTGGAAAGTTTGAGCATCTGGTACAATATGATTTTAAATAGTAATGTTTGTCTTGGGGGTAAGTATAAATTCTCAGCCTCCCCAGCAAAATTTTGTGATGGGGCCTTCTTCAGCCAGCCTCTCCCCCCCCCCCCCCCCCCCCCCCCCCCCCCCCCCCCCC